CAACAATAATACCACCAGGATGTTGACCAGTTGTTCTTTTAATACCAACACATCCTTGACTTAGTAACTCTAGTTTTGCTGCACGCATATCTGATTGACCAATTTTTTCTGCATAAGCTTTAACATAACCATAAGCTGTTTTATTGGCAATTGTTGAAATTGTTCCAGCACGAAAAACATTTTCTTCACCAAACATTTCTTTAGTAAAATCATGAGCTTTATTTTGATATTCACCAGAAAAGTTTAAATCAATATCAGGTGTTTTATCACCATCAAATCCTAAGAATGTTTCAAAAGGAATATCATGACCATCAGTAATTAAATCAATATTGCATTGTGAACATATTTTTTTTGGTAAATCATAACCACACTTATAAGAACCATTACTAATAAATTCACTAGTTTTACATTGTGGGCATAAATAGTGTGGTTGTAGTGGGTTAACCTCAGTAATATTAGCAAAAGTAGCTACTAAAGATGAACCAACTGAGCCACGACTACCAACAAGATAACCATCTTGTAAAGATTTTTCTACTAATTTGTGTGCAATTCAATAAACAACAGCAAAACCATGAGTAATAATTGCATCTAATTCGCGAGTTAAACGTTTTTCTACATATGTTGGTAATGGATTACCGTAACGATTTCATGCTTGTTCATAACAAAGATTACGTAATTTAGTATCAACATTAACAATACTTGGTGTAAATAAGCCATCTTTAATTGGTTTAACCATTTCAAATTGTTTTGCTAATTGCAAAGGATTATTAATAACAATATCATTAATTAAATTAGGGTCATCTAAAAAGTTAAATTCTGTTAACATTTGATTAGTAGTTCTTAAATGTTGATCGGGATATGATGTAACTTTACCTTTACGATCAAATAATGGGTGTAACAAACCACCAATTGCTTTACTATTAATAATAACATCACGATACATTTTTTCATGGGGATGTAAATAGTGGGCATCGCTAGTAGCAATTACTAATTTATTTAATTTAAGAGCATTATTAATAATTTTTTTAATAGTATCATGTAATTGTTCTTTAGTAATATTTCCTAACTGTATTAAGTGTTTATAAACAGCAGGTGGTTGGATTTCAATAAAATCAAATCATTTCATTATTTTAATTAGTTCTTCTTCACTTTTATTTAATGCTGTTTCAAAAACAGCACCATTTATACAACTACTACCAATTAATAATTCTTTTCTATTTTCATTAATTGCTTCTGATATGATTTTTGGTGTTTTATAAAAATACTTTGTATGAGATAGTGAAACTAATTGATATAAATCTTTTAATCCTAATTGATTTTTTGCAAAAATAGTAATATGTTCACCACGAAGTTTAAAATTAATTTGTTCATTAATTAAGTTATTAATTTCTTGTAAATTAATACAATTAAATTCTATTTTTAATTGTTGTAACATTTTTAAAAATACTTGTGCTAATACATTAGCATCATAATCAGCACGGTGGGCAATTTCATCATCATATTTAATGCCATAAGTACGACAAATAGTACCTAATCGATAATATTTTAGTTGTGGTAGAATTGCTCTAGATAATTGCAAAGTATCAATGACAGGATTATTTAAAGGCATAAAACCCAATTGTTTCATTGCTGCTTGTAAAAAACCAAAGTCAAAGTTAGCATTATGAGCAACTATTGTTTTATTGCCAATTATTTCAATAATTGTTGGCAATATTTGTTGTAATGTTTGTTTATCTTTTAACATAACATTGGTAATACTAGTAAGTTCAGTAATATGTTCAGGTACGGGATTATTCGGTTTAATTAAAATTGTATCTTGTTTTAAAATCATATTGTCTTTAACAATTGTATAACCAAATTCAATAATTTCGTGGTAATTGGTTGATAAACCAGTTGTTTCTAAGTCAAGAACAATGTATTCTAAATCTAATAATGGTGTATTAATATTATTTTTAGTAATACTAATATTATTGGGGATTAAATCCATTTCAACACCATACATTACTTTTAAGTTTGGATGTTTTTTAGCGGCATTAGCAATATCTGGGTATGCTTGTACATTTAAGTGATCAGTAAAACCAATTGCTTGGTGTCCTCATTTAGCTACTTGATTAATATAATCACTTGCTGAAGTAATACCATCCATAGCACTCATTTTAGTATGAGTATGAAATTCAATTCTTTTAGTTTTAGCATCATCATTATTGTTAGTATTTTTATTATTTAAATCAATAATTAAATCATCAATTCATAGTACTTGTTCTTTACTATAATTATCATAACGACTATTAGCATTAATTTTTATTCAATCATCAACTTTAATATTATCAAATTTCTCATCTGGTTGATCGCTATTAATAAATGCTTTGCAAGTAATTGCATCACTATAATCAGTAATTCAAAATGAATAAAATCATTTTTGAGTTTTAGTTAAAAATTTATTAATTTTAAAAACTTTACCACTAATAATAATATTGGGTTCATCACCAATGATATCTTTAATGCTATGAGTTGGGTCTGTTATTTCTAAATTAACTTTTGCTTTTTTGCGATAAGTAGTTGTATTAAAATTTTTACTTATATTGTTGTTAGGAATTTTAGTTTTTAAATTGTTAGTAATTTTGCTAATTTCTGCTTTAGATTCATTTTCATAACTAATAAATGGTTGCTCTGCTTTATTTATTTTAGTTTTTAATTGAATTTTTTTAAAACCATATTGTTGAAAGTAGTTAATAAATTGTAAAAATTCATTAGTTATTAATTTTTCTTCAATACTATTATGAATAGTAATGGTAATAATATTATTTTTATAATTAATTGCTGAGTCGGGTAAAGAATAATAAATGCCAGCTAATAGTTGCAATTTATGAGTTTTAATATAATGAAAATATGTTAATACAGTTGATTCATCAGCAGTAAGGGAAACATTAAAATCGACACTAATATTCGAAACAGGTAATTTTTCAAAATGTTGTTCAAAACTTTTTAAAGTAGTAGTTGTTAGAAAATTAGGTAAGTTGATGGTAATTATTACTTGTTGATTATGATGAAAATATTGTACTTTTTTAATAGTAGCATGATTAAATTCATTATTAACATCATTAAAATCCATTTCATGGAAAAGTTTTTGCAAATCTTGATTCATATATTTTTCCCTCTCTTAATACTAAATAATTGACAATAATAACTATATTTTAATTAAAATATATTAAATCATTATTCTAATGTTTAATCAAATTTCATATTTTAATTATAACTTAATTAAAATTCTTATTCTTATTCTTATATAAAAAAAGTATGAAATTTTAGTTATAAAAAATAAAAACTAAATAATTTAATTGCAATAAAAAGTAATGACTAATATTTAGGCATTACTTTTTATCATGAAGGTATTATTGGATTATTTGTTTTAGGTAATGATTCGGTTTCAAAAATAGCATTTATATTATTCACATTAAAATTTGAATTTAATTGTTGATTTCTTGTTTGTATAGATGGTTTATTAAAAGCTTTTTTTTGTTTTTTTGTAAAAACTTGTATTTGTTCTTTGGTAAATGCTGCCTTTTGATTAGAAGTAAATCATTCTAATTGTTTTGGAGTTAATGATTCAATTTGAAATTTAAATTCTTAAAAATCATATTCTATTGTTAATTGATTATTAATTGTTTTTAATGCTTTTCTTATTCCTTTTTCTAGTAGCGAAAACTTATTATAACTGAAATTTTTTATTTGTTCTGTTATAAATGCTTGAATTTGTTTTGTTGTAAGTGCTTTCATTTGTTTTTTTGAAAAAGCATAAAGCAGTTAAATTATTTTTTGTAAATAAGGGAATTAAGTTGGTGTTAATTGTTGAAACTTGATATGGACTTAATAGTTGCAATAATTGTCTTCAAATTGGTAACCCATTATTATCATTTGCTTTAATGATACTTAAAATAAATTTATCAATTTCTTGTTTATTGACAGTGTTTGTAAATGATTGTATTTGTGTTTTAGTAAGCTCTTTAAGTTCTGCTTTGCTAAATAATATTTGATTTTTTGTAGGCATATCTTTTAATCTTTGTCCTTTTCATTTAAATTTAATTTAATAAAAATCCTAATATAGAAATAATTTCTATATTAGGTATGAACATTTATTAAATTATAAAGTAATTATAATATAAATTAATTATTTTTGTTATATTATACATTTTATGAATTATAATTTAATATTTTTTAAATGAATATGTAATTTGTTTTCTTTTTAGACAGAAGTTACTGTTAAACTTCTGGTTCTCATAACTGGTTCTTTTGATGAATTTGCTAGTTCATTAGATACTTTAATGTAATCAGGAGTAATATTTGCTTTTGATACTCTTTTTGTAGAAACAAAACCACTTAATCTTAAAAATTCGTTAAATCGTGATTCTTTAATGTCATTAGGATTAACATTTTCTTTTGATACTCTTACTGTGGGGATAGTAGGATTTGTTCTTAAAAATTTGTTAATTCTTGATTCTTTTCTTCCAAAATTTGTAGTAGTAGCCATTCCACTAGCTATTAAAGTTGTACCAACAGCAATTCCACCAATAGCAGCTGGTAATAATAAAGCACCACCAGTCATCATAGGTGCTGCAGCAATACAAGCTGCTGTTATTCCTGCAGTTGTTGTTAATGTTCCTGTAGTTATTGTGACACCAGCAATTACTTTTCTTTTTGTACTTATTTCACTAGACATAATATTTTTTTTCCTTTTCTTTTTCAATATTTAATTTAATAAAAATCCTAATATAGAAATAATTTCTATATTAGGAATGAACAATTATTAAATTACAAAAATTATTATAATATAAAAAAATGAAAATATTTTATTTTTTTAAAAAAAATTATTGCTTAAAAGTACATAATGAAATATCAAAATAATATTAAATATAATAATATTATTTTTTTATTGAAAAGTAACCAATTAATAATTGCATTTTTTAATCAAACAAGTTAAGATTACTTATGGTAAATGTTATGCCCACGTAGCTCAGTGGATAGAGCACCGCCCTTCTAAGGCGGGGGTCAGAAGTTCGAATCTTCTCGTGGGCGCCATTAAATTTTAAAATACTAAGAAGGTTTAACTAAATAATGATAAATCATGACAATTATTATCAAGACATTATTGGTAAAATTAACCACCTCATTAGTGAAAATAAATGAGATCAAGCAATGAAGTTGGTCAAACATGAATTAGAGATGCCTTATATTCCTATTCATCATGAAATTACATTACAAGAGTTACATCATAATATTACTACTCATATTAGATTAAATAGTAAAAATGAAAGTCATGAGTGAAATTTAGAGAGAATAAGTCGTGTATTAATGAATCCATTTGATGAAGATCTTCATCCGGTGGCATTTTATTATTTACAAAGTCATAATGCTAGGTTAATTTTGCCAACAATTAAGATTTATCTTACAAATAAAAATATAAATAATATAAATAAAACACAACTATTATTTATATTAAATAATCAAGGTATTGATGAAGAAATAGAAGTAATAAAAGGTCATGATACATTTAAAATTAATCCAAAAAAAATAACACAATGACAGGAATCACTCGTTTATTTAAAAATTACAAAAATATTTGAAGATGAAGTTCATATTGATAATCCAGGTATTTATGGTATTTGCTTGTTTTTATTGGATAGTTATTTTGAGAATTTGTTTCCAACATTACCTAATAAAAATCAAGCAGCAGCATTAGCAGCTGCTTTGTATATTCGTGCTTGTAGTTTACAGTTTATTAGTGTAAAATTGGTAGAAAGTGCTAAAAAATTTAAAACTACTACTACTTTAATAAAAAAATACTTAAGTATTATGATTCAACAACAAATTACATAAGGAGAGATTTGAAAAATGACATTAAATATTATAAAAGATGAAAAAAATGGTCTTGGAAAATGACATGTTACCATTGATACTAAAACTTGAAAAGATCAATTGGCAAAAGCTGAAAATAAATTGATTGCACAAGTAGAAATTCCTGGATTTCGTAAAGGAAAAGTTCCTACTAAAATGGCTAAAAAACATGTAACTGAAGAACAAACTTTACAAACAGCAACTAAAGCAGTTATTACTATTGCTTATGATTTTGCCTTAAAACAAAAACCTAACTTAATGCCTACTAATCAACCCGAAGTTAATGTGGAAAAATCTACTATTAAAGAGTGTGAAATAATGTTTGTATTTGATTTACCAGCAGAAATTACTATTGGTAAATATCGTGGTATTGATATAGTAAAACCTGTAGCAACTGTTAATCAAGAAGAAATTGATACTCAAATTAAACTATTACAAGATAGTTTTGCTATTTTTAATCCAAAAGAAAAAGGAAAATTAGAAAAAGATGATACTGCAGTTTTTAATTTCACTGGTTTTTTAGACGGTAAAAAATTCCCTGGCGGTGAAGCTAAAAACATGGAATTAGAAATTGGTTCTGGTAAATTTATTCCTGGTTTTGAAGAAGGAATGATCGGTATGGAACCTAAATCTAAAAAAACTATTGAAGTAACTTTCCCAGAAGATTATCATGTTCCAAATTTAAAAGGTCAATTAGTACAATTTGAAATTGAATTAAACGAAATAAAAACAAAAGTTATTAATGAAGATTTAGAAGAATTAGTAAAAGATGTTAACATTCCAGATGTTACTACTACTGAACAATTATTAGAAAATATTAAAAAACAAATTGAAGTACAAAAAACAATGACAATTAAGGAACAATTTATGGAAGAACTTATTGCTAAAATTGTTAAAGATTCAAAAATAATAATTCCAAGTTTTGCTGTTAAAAATGAAACTGAACGTTTAGAAAATGAATTTAAAAAACAATTAGCTAATCAAAACTTTACAATTGAAAACTATATGGCAGCAACTGGTTTATCTCATGAAGAAATTATTAATGAAATAAAAAAGGATGCAATTATGCAACTTCAGAATTTTTTAGTTATTGAAGAAATTATTAAACAAGAAAAAATAGAAATTACCGAAGAAGAAGTTCAAAAACAATTAACAACATTTGCCGACCAATTTAAAATAAGCATTGAAGAAGTTAAAGCAAATATTAAAGATTTAAGTTTAGTTACTACTACCCTAAAACGTAATAAAGCCTTTGATTTATTATGAGAAAGTAACGGTAAAAACCAAAAGCAAACAACAAGTGCTTAATTTAATTTGATAATTATTATATAACCTAATTACCAATTTAATAATTAGGTTATTTTATCGTTTATTTTTTTCAAAAAGTAAAAATTATCAAAAAAAAAATAAATGTAATAAAATACTACTAGTATAAATTAAATATGAATTAATAAGTGCTGCTGTAATAGTATAGTATAAATCAAAAATTAGATATTTTAGCAATTAACTATTGCAAGTGCTAATGTTTTATATTATAATCCAGTTAATACATTATTTGAGGTGAGACAATGAAGATAAAAAATATTACTAATATTCCAGTACTAGTAACAAGAGGAAGTTTTGTTTTCCCAACAGTTGAAATAGAACTAGAAGTTGGCAGACATAAATCAGTAGCGGCAATTAATGAATCGGTAGCTAAGTTTAATTCAGAAATTATTTTAGTTTCGCAAAAGGATCCGAAAGTAGATAATCCGCAATTAAGTGAAGTCTACAATCATGGTACTTTGTGTAAAGTGCAAATTCAAAAAAGTCATAATGATGGTACACTTACCGTATCTTTTTATGGACAACAAAGAGTTAAAGTTTCTAAGTTTTATGATGATAAATTTTATACAGGAGATGCTGAAACTTTAGTTAGTCCTAATGTTTCAAAATCATTAGAAGAAGAGTTGATTCAAAGAATTGTAAATAATTTACAACAGATTTTAGATGTTCATGGTTCAATTCCACAAGGTGTAATTAGTCAAATCACCGATGGAATGAAAGCTAGTGAAATTATTGATAAAATGGCTCAATTTTTACCATTTTTAACTATTAATAAACGCCAAGAAATTTTACAAGAAACTGATATTAATAAACGTTTAGATTTATTATTGAAAGATGTTGGTGGTCAAAAACAAGTTGGTGCCATTGAAAAGGATTTAACAGCTAAAATTAAAGATCGTATTGATGAACAACAACGTGAATATTATTTACGAGAAAGATTGCGTGCTATTAAAGAAGAATTAGGCGAAATTGATGGTAAGTCTAATGAAATGAAACGTTATTTAGAACGCTTAGAAACAGAAGAGTTTCCTGAAGCAATCAAAACGCGTGTTAAAGAAGAAATTAGTCGTTATGAAGATATGCCGCAAGCTTCAAGTGAATCAAATATAATTCGTACATACATTGATTGAATGATGACTTTACCTTGATTTCAAAAAAGTGAAGAAAAATTTGATTTAATTAATGCAAAAAAAATTCTTGATAAATATCACTATGGTTTAGAAAAAGTTAAAGAAAGAATTATTGAATATCTTGCTGTTAAAAAAATGGCTAAGGCAATGCCAGGACAAATTATTTGTTTAGTTGGCCCTCCTGGTGTTGGTAAGACTTCTTTAGCTAAATCAATTGCTGAAGCGATGGGGCGTACTTTCGTTAAACTTTCACTTGGTGGAGTTAAAGATGAATCTGAAATTCGTGGTCATCGTAAAACTTATATTGGTGCGATGCCAGGAAGAATTATCCAAGGTATGAAACGTGCTAAAGTTATTAATCCATTATTTTTATTAGATGAAATTGATAAAATGTCATCTGATTATCGTGGTGATCCAGCTAGTGCTATGTTAGAAGTATTAGATCCTGAACAAAATGCTAATTTTTCAGATCATTATATTGAAGAAAATTATGATTTATCACAAGTTATGTTTCTAGCAACAGCTAATTATATGGAAGGTATCCCTGAACCATTAAAAGATCGAATGGAAATTATTGAACTTTCTTCATATACAGAATTAGAAAAACTTGAAATTGCAAAAAAATATTTAATTCCTCGTGTTATTGAAATTACTGGTTTAAATAATAAAATGTTAAAATTTAAACCAAATTCAATTGAAGAAATAATTAAATATTATACAAGAGAATCAGGTGTTCGACAGTTAGAAAGATTATTAAATAAAATTGCTCGTAAATTTATTGTTAAACTTTTAAATAAAAAAATTAGTACTGAAGAAATTGTTGCTGATAATGTTAAAGATTATTTAGGAAAACAAATTTTCGATTATACTAAAAAAGAAAATGAATCACAAATTGGAGTGGTAACTGGTCTTGCTTATACTCAATATGGTGGTGATATCTTACCAATTGAAGTAAACTACTTTAAAGGAAAAGGTAATTTGGTATTAACTGGTAAATTAGGTGAGGTCATGAAAGAATCTGCTACTATTGCTTTAGATTATATTAAAGCAAATGCTATTACTTTCAATATTCCTTATACTTTCTTTGCAGAACATGATATTCATATCCATGTTCCTGAAGGAGCAGTGCCAAAGGATGGTCCAAGTGCTGGTATTACTTTAACAACTGCAATTATTTCTGCTCTGACAAGTAGACCTGTATCAAAAGATATTGGTATGACAGGTGAAATTACACTTCGTGGTCATGTATTACCAATTGGTGGATTAAAAGAAAAATCAATTTCTGCTCATCGTAGTGGACTAAAAACAATTTTAATTCCAAAAGCTAATATAAAAGACTTAGAAGATATTCCAGAAGAAGTAAAGAAAAAATTAAATATTGTTTCAGTTGAATTTTATTCTGAAGTATATGATTTTATTTTTAATAAACATAAAGCAAAAATTCACTCACCTATTAATAATATTAAACCAACTTCAAGTATTATTGATGAAGGTTAAAATCTAATTAAATTATTAATAACTATAACTTTAAAAAAAGTAAATACTAAAAACAAGTATTTACTTTTTTTATATAAATTTTTTTATATTTGTGATAAATTTGATTTACTTTTATTTGTTACAGAAAAATTAATTTCTGAATTTACATTATTAATTATATTTTTTTTGTTAATTCGTAATATTAGTTCATTTATTTTTACTAAATTTTGTTGTTTAATTTCTTTGATTTTTGTTAAAATAGTTATTTTTGTTTCTATTTTTTTATTTCAATTAAATAATCCAATAGTAAGTACTTTTATTTTTTTATTTATTTTTTTATTATTTAATTTTTTTGATAGGTTATTTATTGAATTTATAAAATTATTTTCTAATTTTTTTAAAGATTCTAAAGTTTTTATTTTTTTATTTAAAAATTGATGATGATTTTGAGTATTTTTTTTATTATTTTGTCAAAAGTCAAAAATATCATTGTAATCTTTACTATAAGTTTCAATTGGAAAATGTAAATAAAGATTAATAATATGATAATTATCTGCTATAAAGTTAACTTCTCTTTCTAAATCATTAATATCCATTTTTTAATGTCTCCTCTTTTAAAAAATAAAAAACCCTTTACTTTTAAAATAAAGTAATGGGTTAAAACTTTGATCAAGTTTGTTTTTATATTATATATTATTTTAATTTTATAATTCAAAAATTAAATTATAAATAATAAAAGTGTTGTTATTAATAATTATTTAAATTTTTATATAAAAATATTTAAAATTAGAAAATTGTGCATGGTGGACAACATTTTTTACCATATTGCATATTAATTAATTCTTCTGAATTTATACTATTTATATCATCATTAGTTATTAGAAAAGTACTATCTTTTAAATATTGATCTTCATTATTTAACTGTTGGATGTTAAAATTAAATTCTAGATTTCCATTTTCAATTTCATCTAAATCTTCTTCATAATCTACTAATAATTTTTGTTTTAAGTTAATAATTTTTTCATTGATTAAAGCAATTTCTTTTAATACCTTTTCTTTATTATTAAGACTAAAATTTTTGTTAAATGGATTCAAACTTTTTTCTAATTCTTTTTTCTCTTTTTTTAATTTTTTTATTTCTTTTTTTGTGCATTTTTTTTCATAATTTTCTCCTTTTTTAAAAATAAAAACTCATTTACTTTTTATGAAAATAATGAGTAAAAACCTATGAACTTGTCAAGAAAAGTGGACAATTAAAGTAACCTTTTATT